CACAACGACAAACACCCACACAGACAAACAAACACAAAACACACATACACATACACACACACACACACACACAGCCAGGTCGATCCACTCAAAGTCTGCAGAAGGTTGCGCAAGCGAAGTGAACAATACAAAACAAAGACACATGAGTTGCTTAATGTCGATGTGATTGAAGTCCGCAGCGGGCTTGTGTGTGTGTAGTGTTTGAGGGTATCCTCTTTGGGGTGGATTTAAAAGGGGGGAAACCACAATGACAAGCAATCCCACCATCTTGGAGGGGGGGGGGGGCATATTTGGAAATACCCACTCACTGCCCTGACCGGTTGACGGCTGCGAAACAACGCGCACGGGCATGGTCCGATTCCGAGACACTCTGTCGCTGAAGCACCTGCTCTGACTCCGCTTCCATCAAACATGCATGACCGTCACTTGCATATCCCGTCAAGTGCACAGGGCGGTGTTGGTCAATTTCATTCCACGTGTCGCGCAATGCGATGCATACATTCCTCAAGCGGCGAGCCACACACTTGAGTCACTGAGCCAACATCCAGTGCGGACTTTTGCGCGATGTTTCTCGCAACAACAGATCGGATGTGGTCTGCGCTTGGGAAACATCGTGCCCAAAGCACCCCGAACGCCACCCGACTGTCATCCAGCCACCTGCCTGGCACCACTTTCACCTGGGCGCCCCCCGGGCGGCTGGGCTCAGAACCGCGACACGTTGTCGACGATGAATTTCCCTTTGGCTCGAGCTTGGTTTTCCTTTTGTTCTCCCTCAAAAAGACACAACTGCATGCCGGTGCTTCCTGAAAAGTGGCAGTCGTTCGCGCAAGCCATTGCATATGCACATCGGGAGGCGTGTGCAGCAACTCTCAGAATGAACATGCTTGTCCTTGAACCCTGGAGGTGACAGTTACTGTAAAAGGCTTTTTAAACCTTCCGTATCAACTCAGAACCTAAGCGCAGGAGATGTTCCACCAAATGCCACGAAACCGGCGACCTCCACATAAACCTTCCGTATCAACTCAGAACCTAAGCGCAGGAGATGTTCCACCAAATGCCACGAAACCGGCGACCTCCACATAAACCTTCCGTATCAACTCAGAACCTAAGCGCAGGTGGTGTTCAACCAAATGCCACGAAACCGGCGACCTCCACATAAACCTTCCGTATCAACTCAGAACCTAAGCGCAGGAGATGTTCCACCAAATGCCACGAAACCGGCGACCTCCACATAAACCTTCCGTATCAACTCAGAACCTAAGCGCAGGTGGTGTTCAACCAAATGCCACGAAACCGGCGACCTCCACATAAACCTTCCGTATCAACTCAGAACCTAAGCGCAGGAGATGTTCCACCAAATGCCACGAAACCAAACGCGAGGGCGACCCAAAGCTCGCAAACACGGCTCGGAGCCCGGAGGTAAGGTGTTTTTTGGTGTTTTCCCATCCCTCAAGGGCTTCAAATCCAAACCCCCAAGCCAAACCACCAAAGTTAGGTCCTCCAGAGAGGTTAGAAGGGTAGCCTTTTTGCTGTAGTCTATTTTAGTAGTGGATCCCCCCAACCAAAAAAAGAAAGAGTAAAAGGACACTGGGGGACCTACTAAGGGTACCCCAGCATGCCTTTTGGCCTCTGATGGCCCGTTCCCCCCCCCCCCCCCCCCCCTGCCCGACCTTTCGGCTGGCCCAAACCGTCCTCCTGTCGAATCGGTTCACTGCCAAACTGTCGTCTGGGGCCCGCGAACTGCGCAAAGGGTCAAGGAATTTGGGGGTGGGCTTCTTGGAATGGGTTTCTGAAAATCACTCGTGAAAAGGAGTGCAGACACACAAAACCGAGAATGCACTTGGTCTCAGCGACCTTGCGAACTTTCATTTTTTCCGCGCGAGGCCAGCGAACCAGAAAGGGAGCAAACAAATAGGCAGTTGTTGGGGAAGCAGAGAGAAACCTGTCCCCCGCCCAAAGCACAAAATCTGCAAAACGACCGAAGGCTTCGGTGAAACTCGCAAAGCAAATATAGTGTCTATGGCCCGGCACGTACTCATTGCTTGCCAGCAAGCAGTACAGTGCCGGACTACGGAAAGGTGCCGTTCCCAAAATCTCAAGGTGATCACTCTCCGACACTGCCTGCCGAACTGTGGATGGACGCCATCCTGTGAGCACCACCTCAGAATCCCTGGAAAGACACGATTTCCCCCGTAAATACCATCAAACCAATGGATTTCAACCAGGTCCTCCACTACAGGTTAGAATAAAGGTGCCAACTTTTTTCTGTAGTCTATTTTAGTAGCGAAAACCCTCCCAACCCAAAAAGTTGGTGAGAAAGGGCACAATTCTGGGGGAGCCAGACAAGCTTGTAGTCGTATATAAGCCTCCATACCTCCAACATCCCCATTTCAACCCCTTTTGAATGTTTTTTTGTTCTTTTTTTTTTTCGGGAAACCAAACGAGTTTCCAACCACTTCGCAAGGCCAACCCTGGCTTCGTTTCCGCGGGGCGAACTGCACGTCGCATTCCCCACCTGCCGCTCCCGCGCGGCCAGCCGCTGCCGCAGGCGCGGCGGGGGCTGTCGCAGCCTGACGCTTTGGGATGGAACCCTCTTTTGGTTTGAGACCCCGCTGGATTTGTTTCCAGCCAGAGCTTAGAACTCTCCGAAAGCCGAAGAATAGGAAGAAGAAGAAGAAGAAGAAGGAAGGCTTTCCCTTTGGTTGGAACACCAAAAGTCACACCCAAGAGAACAGGGAAACCAACAGGAAACAAAAAGGAAACATGGAAACCTGACTTTCGGTGACCAGGGAAACCAACAGGAAACGCCAAAGTCATTTTGGGGGTCCTGTACAAAAGACCAACCCATGTTGGTATTTGCAGGGAAAAGGACACCTTTAAAATCAACTTTGGGGGGGCCCTAATTTTGAGACAAAGCCATAAGCAAGCCAACCAACTTTTTGCCGGAAGGGCGACCTGCAGCTTGTGATGCCTGAGGAAAATCGTCCCAATCCTCATCGCTTTCTTTCTGTTTCCAAGAACATGTCATAGCAGGGATGACTTGTTCGATTTGGACAAAATTCAGGAAATGCTAGAAACCACGTCTCCAACTTGGGACACACCAAGATCAACGGATAACATGGGCAAACCAGTGAAGTCAACGCCCACGTAACTGCCACTTGGGCTCAACAACATCAGAGGGAATGTGCTGCAAACTCGTGAGACTGACCTTTGCTTTCAGCAAGTTCAACCACTCCCCCCCCCCCGTAAGGAAAAATAGAGGTCAAGGAGTCAAGGGGTCCCATTGTGTCATACACACTGCGCCGTGTCAAAAAATCGCATCGAGTCCGTGGAGAGGTGGAGTTTGGCGGTTCACCAGCCAAGGCGGTTGTCGCGTGAGGCTCTCATATGAGTTTGTCCTAAGTCGGGGACCCCAAGTTGATTGCCTTTTGGCTTTTAATTTTCAAGCAACAACCCCCAAGAGGAGTTCCCTAAAGAAAGACACACACACACACAAATGGTCGCTCCGTGGGCTTCTCCGCGAGTTGCCAAAGGACGCTGCCAGCGTTGCATGCCCCTTTGGTAGGAAAAAAAGTCTCTCTCACGAGGCGCCTAGGGTTCTCCACATTCTGGAAGCCCACACTGTCTGCCTGGGCAGAACACAGCACAAGGCTCGCTCCCGCTGCACAAAAAAAACGGACAGGGCCGGGTATGCAACTCCCAACAAGGGACCCAGCAGGGAAAGCCCCGGTATTTTTACAGTTGCCAGGCTACGTTGGCATTGCTGCTTCTCGGAGTTGCAGGACACAAGTCTCTCAAGCTGTGAATTGGAACAGCTTCTTCTGGCTGGCGAAAAAAAGTATCCAAAATGGATCTCTGGTTTCCTCCAAACTAAACATGGACTTAAATTCCTGCGTTCCCCTGGTTTAATTTTGACCCGCCTCACTTGGATTGAATTTGCCCGGCCTGAGACATGAGTGGCTGAATCAGCGCATGGGCAAGCTGGTTGCTGTTGACCGACCCCCCGCAAAATGCTTCACTTATCGGGGGTCCCGGAAAATTCGATCTGGTTCAACAAAAAAAAGTTAAAGTCCAAAGATGTTCAAAGAAGCGTGACCAAATAGCCAAAAAGCATGGAGATGTACTCTTGTGATGCTTCCCATTTCAGGCTTTGGAAGGAATACTGTGGCGTTTCCCAGATTTAGAAACGACACTTGTACAATTCAGGGAACGTCAGTCTGCCCAGTAGTCCTTATTGGGGTTTCTCAAAATGGCCTGATCATGGATGTTTGCTGGCAGTGTGGCCTGCTCTTCGTCCCACAGGATGCTTTGCCGCAGACCTTGAACCACGCAGCGAAACATCCTGTGACATTTGACGCGCCAAATGTCTTTCTGGCCTGGCAAACGTCAAGGCCACCATGCAAGAGTTGTGTCAAGCCAAACCATAGATTGCCTTTCAAAGGCAACACGCGGTGGCCGGAGCCGCGCACGCCCGCCTTGGGCTTCCATCACTTTCGCAACTCTGCCTTCACTCTGGGGCTTTTCAAACTTTCTTTCACTTATCAGTGGTAGATGTTAATTTGGTTGCCTTTCAACACGCAGACATGGTCGTCCTCTGACACCCTCCACCTGACCTGGCTGTTTCCCGAAATGAGGCGCCCCTTGGCATGTTCAAAGCGTTTAGGGGAACTGACACTTGCAAAGCACATGCGCCCAGGTGCTATTTGCGCGAGCAACCCCTGGAGCCCTTCCAGAATCCTCCCAAGCCACTCCAGACCCCACGAAGCCAAGGGTTCAGCAGAAACAAGTTTACCGCCTGGCTGGCTCTTCCCCAAAAGGTCGATCACCCTCTTGTAACTCTCAATGGACATGGCTTGTGCTTTTGTCAAGACCCGAATCGCCATTTAAAAAAACAAAAAAACGCCCCCCCCCCCACCCCCGTTCAAAGGCTTGGCTTTTCCTAAGCCATCACCAGATCCCAGTTGCTCCAGTGGGTAACCAGAACAATTGTCCTGGTGGTTTTAACGGTTCCCTACAAAGCCCCAGGCTTGCATGGATCCAGCGCAATTGTCCTTTTGGATGCAGGTCACCTACAAACCCCAGTGGATCCACTTCGCACTCCCCACCTTTCGGGATACCAAGGCTCCCTCCCCGCCCCCGCACGCTTCTTGCCTTTTGCGCGCGCCTTTCGGTCCGAGCAGGTGCCCCGCCAGGGCGCGCGCGCCCACGTCTTGCGGTGGAGCGGAGAGCCCCGCAGCACGAAGCCCACGTTGAACCAGCACCACCCGGCGATGCCCCGGTAGATCCGCGCCTCCGGCCTCCGGACGCGGAAGCCGAGCGACCCGCGGCGGCTCTTTTTTCAGCCCAGCCGAATGCGGAACACGTCAGTGTAAAAAAAATCCGAACATCCAGATAGATGGTTCAGGTATCAAAAAATCCAGCGTTGATGTTGATATTAGTCGCCGTCGGAAAAAAGAAAGAAAAACAGACTCTGTGCAAAACTGATATCTCCAAATCCATGTGTTCAAGACTCGCCTTCGTATTTGGGTCTTGGTCAGTTTCTTCCCGTAGACTTCCTGGAGTTTTCCCATAACCTTCACGTAGTCTGTAGCCTGTTTCTTCTCATCTATCGTAATTCAATATTTGCAAAACAGTTTTTTTCCCGTGAAAAAAGGCTTCGCTTCAGGCTTTCTCCGGCCTTCGTTTCGAGACCTGCTGGCGCCGTGCAAGCCGCCAAATGCACAGTGATAACCCTTCGATTTTAAAGACTCGTGCTCGTTTCTCTTTTGGGGGGTTTCACCCTACTACTACACTCCAATATACTGGATGCCTTACAAAAAGAAGATAGGGTAAAGCCGCCAAACTTCTTGATCCCACTCGCCAAACCAAATCGACGCTCACTGGACCATCCACCCACCCGTCCCCGCCGAGCACAGATCTCGTAGAGCGGGTGCCACCACTTCATGTCTGCCCCGCTGATGGGCACCAGGCAGCGCCCCAAGTAGAAGCCCTGCGGAGTGGAACTTCTGAACCCCAACGAATTCATCCCAACTAGCAAGCAATAGTGAAAGAAAAAAAGTTTTAGAATAAGGATCTCGAAATAACACGCCAGAAGGCCTATGGTATGCCATCCGGGCGAGCCAGCCGAATCCTTGCGGAGGAGCATGGAAGTGCACAAAAGTGTGCAAAAAAATACATTCCGCTTAGAAAGGGGCACAAACCCATGGTGGGAGAGTGCCCAACTGACTCGGACATGGATGAAGTCTACGACAACTGAAGTTGGTAAAATTTTGCTCTCAAGTGCGAGCTTTCATGGTGACGTAGCACATAAGCCGCTTTTTTCGTCAGATTGCATGATTGGCTGGGCATGTTACACACACATGGAAGCTGTGTAACCTCCGTTCCTCGACAGGCCAAAAACTGATCACACCTCCAGGGTTCCACACCGCGGTAGATTTCCCTCACCCAGCCAAGCTCTGGCCTTCCATGCCCTGCTCCAACCTCTCTGTGATATCAAAGTCGGGAGGAGACCCACCAAAAGGAAACAGTATCTGAGCTGGGCTGTCCTCAGATCCCCCGCTAAAAGTTTGACTTTTAGTGGGTCAAAAGTTTCTAAATGAAAATCCCCACTAAACACTAAAAGGCCAAAGAGCTAAATCGATGGCTGGGAACCACCAAGTGAACAGTCGCATCTTCAAACGGGTCAACCACCTCTGGCCTCGTAGCCGTAGGTCCACATCTCCGCGGCCAGGGCCCGCAGCGGACCGTCTGCTGAAGCTCCCCAGAAGTGGGAGTACTCCAAGACCACGGCGCCCACGCGGCGCGCCACCAACAGGCGCCTCGAGAGAACCAGTGTCAAAGGATCTGAAGAACCTCTGTGCTCAGATCAGGCTGCTCAGTGGCCCAAAGGACACAGAAACTACAAGGTCAACCCTTTTGGGGCCATGGCTAAACATGGACCAAAAAGGAGAACCGACAGCTCATTTCAGGTCCATTCGCCTGCAAGAGAAGACACACAACTGTGAGCTTTGCCAGGCCGAACCAAAAGCCTACAGCTGGGATAGCAAGTCGAAGCCATGGAAGCCACCCATCCGCCAAGCAACCATGCGGATTCTCACTTTGGCCGTGGGTCAAAAAAACGGTAACAAAATGGAGCCCTGGTAAGCGGAAACATGGACCAAAACCTGCGTAACCCCTCCTGTTGAATTTTGAGCCACACCCATGTCTCGTGCCGCAATGGCACTTGCGGGGACCTCAGCTTCATGTTCCTTCAGATGTCTCGGGCTCTTGAAAACCCAAAGGCGCCCCCGAAAAAGGGGCCGCTTCAAAGGGAAGCCCAGCAATACCCATGTCGGAGTCCTCTTTTTCGAGACGTGGCAATCTTCTTGCAACCCCATCGGCTTGACCCAAAGACAGAACCTGAGAGACCCCACAAGCCAAAGGATTGAAGCGAGCGCGGCAAGAGCTGGAAAAGCTTAACTGCAAAGCAGCCAAACAATATGGTAGCCTTCGGAGACAAGCTTCAAAGTTGGCCGAAATGTTTCCGGAAGACAGAGCTCGTGCTCGCGCGAATCTAGGTGTGAGGGGGATCCATTCCCAGACTGTCCAACTGTGGCTAATATACACCCACATCTACCAAACAAAAGAAAACTAGACCACGGTTGGCCCGAAAGCATCACAGCCCGGCGATCATTCCCGCGCAAGTTTCTTGCTCGATGTGGTCACGAGCAATACACAGCAACTAACCTTGTTCCTGCTATCTTGCCACCTGTCGGACCCCCCTCACACGAGTTTGGCAAGCACGTCAAAGATGACACATATACCGCCCTCGAGCAAAACAGTGACTACAACGCAGATGACTCTCATGATGACTCTGTGCAATGACTCTCATGATGATTCTGTGCAATGACTCTCATGATGATTCTGTGCAATGACTCTCACGATGACTCTGTGCAATGACTCTCGTGATGACTCCGTCCAATGACTTTTGTGCGATGACTCTATGCAATGGCTGTCATGGTGACTCTGTGCAATGACTCTGGTGTGATGACTCTATGCAATGGCTGTGATGACTCTGTGCAATGGCTCTCATGATGCTTCTGTGCATGTGCAATGACTCTCATGATGATTCTGTGCAATGACTCTCATGATGACTCTGTGCAATGACTCTCATGATTCGGTGCAATGACTCTCATGATGACTCTGTGCAACGACTCTCGTGATGACTCCGTTCAATGGCTCTTGTGTGATGAATCTATGCAATGGGTGTCATGATGACTCTGCGCAATGACTCTTGTGTGATGACTCTATGCAATGGCTGTGATGACTCTGTGCAATGACTCTCATGATGCTTCTGTGCATGTGCAATGACTCTCTTTGCAATGACTCTCATGATGATTCTTTGCAAGGACTCTCATGATGCTTCTGGGCAATGACTCTCATGATGACTCTGTGCGATCACTCTCGTGATGACTCCGTTCTCGTGATGACTCCGTTCAATGACACTTGTGCGATGACCCTATGCAATGGCTGTCATGATGACTCTGTGCAATGACTCTCATGATTAGGATTCTCCCAACGGAACACCTGACGTTTGGTCTGCCCAAGTTGCCCTGCGCTAGCTGCTATGTGCCTGTGCAAGTGCTCTGTGCAATTTGCTTTGCGCAGGTTGCTCTGCACAAGCGGCAACGCTCTGTGAAAGTTGCTCTGCGCAAGTGCTGCCGAAGCTTTCGGGAAGTACTTCGCATTCTAGTTTTCTGATTGAAAGGTTCCATTATGCAGCCGGAGCTGCAGGACTGTACTCCACGTACTACTACAGTTGTACTTAAAAGTTGCGATTTTCCAGCCGGAGCTGCGTCCGCGTACTACGTTTGCTCTTAAAAGTTGCGATTTCTGTCTAGAAAAGCTGCCGCGGACCAGGCGGGGATCGAACCCGCGACCGCGCGACTCCGAGAGCAGGCGCGCAGACCACGCGACAACTTCCAAAGACCAGTTCGCAAGCAACAAATTCGCACGGCGCCACAGCGAGAGCGCTTCGACGCTCGAAAAACTCAATTTTTGACATCGACCACGCCGATCCCCGCAGAGGGTTCCTCCTCGAATGTCAAAATTGCAAAAAAAACCATCAGTTTTTTGCACAAATCTCCGCAGAGCGCGCACCGCAGAAATCGTAAAAAGTCCTCAGCTTTTTGACCTCGACCACACGAATCTCCGCAGAGGGTCGCGTGAGCACCGCAGAAATCGTAAAAAGTCCTCAGTTTTTTGACCTCGACCACACGAATCTCCGCAGAGGGTCGCGCGAGCACCGCAGAAATCGTAAAAAATCCTCAGTTTTTTGACCTCGACCACACGAATCTCCGCAGAGGGTTGATTTTCGTAGAGTGCTGTCGGCCCTACCCCGCCTCCCTGAGAAGAGAAGCAAGGAATTTAAAACTCGTCATGAGTGAGAACTCTCATGAGCATTGCTCCTCGGCAGTGACTCTCACGAGCATTGCTCCTCGCAAGTGACTCTCATGAGCATTGCTCCTCGCAAGTGACTCTCACGAGCATTGCTCCTCGCAAGTGACTGCTGCTATGACTCTGTGCAATGACTGTCATGATGATGATGACTCTGCGCAATGACTCTGATGATGATGACTCTTTGCAATGATTCTGATGACAATGACTCAGTGCAATGACTATGATGATGATAACTCTTTGCAATGACTCTCATGATGATGATGATGACTCTGTGCAATGACTCTGATGATGATAACTCCTTGCAATGACTCCCATGAATCCAACGGAAGAACCCTTCGCCATGCTTTCGGGAAAACATGTGAATTGTTGGAACACACATATATTTCCTACAGTTGCGGATTCGGGATTTCTAACTTACCACTCAAATGGTTCACCCAACCCCCAAGTGAGTCACACTCAAGACCCGGTATTAAAACAACACAGAACCATGCTTCAAGAATTAAGAAGGCGGAAATATCCGCGGCTGTTTATGGCAAGGGGATTGTCCCTGACTAACCTTCATCTATCCGGGTTTGGATTTTGGGGGATTCCCTTGGCACCAGCTCCCACAAACTTAGCCAAGGTGCATTTAGGGGGAATCCTCCCGAATCCCTGGCTCCCGGGTTTGATTCGAATCAAAACGTCCGAGTTCCGGAGCTCAGGGTCCACCTGATCGATCCGCTGGCGCGGAGGCCGGCCTCGCGCCCTGCAGCACCTCCAGCTCCGTGCCCTCCGTGTCGATCTTCAGCAGCTCCACCCAGGGGAAGCCGAAGGACTGCAGAAACCAAAAAACGCCGATCCCAAAAAGGCAAGGATAATGTCCAAAACATAGGGGTAGCAGGGGTACCAGGGGTACAAAAGCGTATCAGGGTACTAAAAATACTCAGGGCCACCAGGCAGACCAGCTACTAGGGGTGCCAGGGGGTACCCTGGCACGAGCTGTAGCAGGTACCAGGGGTACAAAGCTGCAGGACTGCCAAACAAAAAGCCCGATCCCAACCCATCCGATCCGACGAAGGCAACAAGGGGGGGGTGTCTCAAAAATAGGATGGGTATGGGTACCACAAACATGGTGCGTTGTTGTCCAGTGGCTTCCCCGTTAAAACAACATTTGGGGGGTGTCTTAACAGAGTTATGTACCACTTGGAATAGCCTCAATGACTGGATGTCAATCCTGCATAAATCTATGCGTCTGAAAGAATCAATGATGGGTGGACTCCCCATGATTGGTTGGATGAGCTGCAATGATTGGTCGACATAAACCCCCATGTACATGTGCACGTGTTGCCACAAGCATTTTCGCGGTGTCGCATCTCTCGCGATAAGAAACGGGTCTCAACCTCCCTGTGGATCGAAAACTGATGTTGAATTTCGCTTATCCAGGAAACCTCCAGTACCCTTCCAACAACTGCGGTTTCCCATGTCCAAAAAGCGGTGGAGTGACAAGTGGGTAGTCAGATTGCTTCCCAAACAGCAAAATGGGCCGAATCTCTTCGTTCAGCTCACAAACGAGTCTGACAAGAAAGCGGGTGTTGCTTGAACATCGTTTGATAATTCTTACTAACCTGGACCTTCGTCCTCCTGAAACAAGACGTAGTTTCCGCCTTTGACTAGACTCGGGAAATTGTAGCACTTTTTGCCGCAAAAACCTGAAACTCCTAAAACTCAAAAAAAACACCATTGCAATGCTCGCGGCCTTTGACAGATTAAAGGAAGCTTTGCAGGGGGAAACGGCTTGATGCAGCCCGCAAGTTTGTCAAAACATGCAACGGCGGTCCAAAGTTGTGCGGTGCAGAAAAAAACGTACCATAACGTACCCAGTTTGACTGCAAATCTCCCGCAAACTTTCGCAAATCAGCAGAAGTTGTAGTTTTGAATGCTCAAGGCATCCCGTTTGCTTTGTATGGCCAATGCGCGACTGGAAAGGATGTGTGTTTTGCCCCAATGTAGCTAAACCACTGGAGTTCGGTAAATTGTAGGGGTCTCCGAAAATCACCAATAAATTTCCCGGAGGCCGAAGGTCCAGGAATGCGTGAAACGGTAAGTCGACTCAAGAATGTGTGATACCCAAGCGCCGTGGAATGTTGCCCATACTCCAAGTCCGAGATGCTTGAGGGCAACGCAGACAATGTTTGAAGCGTACATTAGAGATGTGATGGATGCTCACCATGTGCAGTAGTAGCCATGTACCACCCCCATCAAACACTACTTTGCAAACTTGGTCGCCTGCTCCCTGCTTAAGCTCTAGAATCTGCAAGAAGCACCCATTGCACTGCATCCCACCATTTCATGTCTTTTGCCACATCCGTTCATCTTGCCGTGTTACCGACTTGCCAGCTCAACCCATTTCTGTTTTCCTTTTCTGTCCAGCGCCAGCGGGAAAAATTGTCAGCGTGGCGCGCACCGTGCGTCAAAGGATACTTGTCTGCGTCCATACAGAAACCACATCTGCATCATCCATTCCACATCGGCATTTCATCAGTTTTCCAGTGATGCTTACGGTGTTTGCCATGTTTGGAATGCGCACCATGCAAACAAATGCAACGGCACCAACATCACATCAATAATTGAGCTTTAGTAGGCTCATGGTGGACCTGGCCGCATGTTGCTTTCACATGCCTCTTGCTTGGAGTTGACCAGTGCTTCTGTTCAAAATACCCCTTCTGTGGGGAAACACCCCTGTTTGGAATTCGAAGATTGCGTTTTCCCAGGTAAGCCTTCTCCCAGTGATTCTCTCAAAAAGTCACCACCTAACCCCCCTCCCCTCCCGCCCGGTACGGTGGACACTTAGAGCCTATTTTACTTAACTTGGTTTGTTTTGGGGCGTTGCTTATTTTTATGGGTTCTTGGCTGCAGAAATCAACTCTATCGTGTCCCACCCCCCCCCCCCAAGCCCCCCCCCCCCACCAGTCCGCGCCTCGATCTGTCGTAGAGGCACCCGCTGCACCATGCCGTCCGCGTAGCTGGCCACACGGCCTTCCCCGCTCTGCGTCCAGGCGAGCCCGCCTCAGGCGATCGATCCGGTCCCGCCTCAGCCGATCGAGTGGATTGGCAACACATGGCCATGGGTCAAAAGCCCGGTTAGCCCCCAGTGAACATCCCAATCCAACCACTAAAATAGGCTCTAGAATGGGTTGTGCGCCGAACCCCCCCCCCAAAATGGTACCATTGTTCTTGACCCACAGCCATATTTTGCCACTAAAATGGTCCAAACCCAAAAAGTGACTAAAGTCCATGACCTCAGGAAGTTCGTTTTACGGAACCCCCAAAAATGGCGCAACGGTTTTCCTTTCGGTGTCCATTTAAAGCAGACCGAAAACGGGAGCGAGCATCAAAGAAGACAGACCCAAACAGTTTCGTTTCGGTTTCTTATTGGAATCAGCCCAACAGGGGAACACAGCAGGGCAAGTGGTACGTGTTGTGGGTCATGGTCCTGGTTCCGTCCCTTACAAGGAATGTGTTTATCCTCTGATACTTGTTCAGGGTTTGGAAGTCCGATATCATCCCAGAAATCCCTGCTATCCGCTCTTACAAGCCACTCGCGGTTTTGATGCTGGGGTCAATTGAAACAGAAACGAGATGTGGGCTGGTCCGAAGAAATCTCGAAGGGCGGGTCCGAAGATGGGAAACCCAGCAAACCTTGGGGGAAGATCACGAAATCCACTGAGTCCAAATTTCTAAAAGACGAGCCGCCTGTTTTTCGATTTGGATAACCGCCCAACGAAGACCTGAGTGATCTCCGGGGCCCGCACCGTAGGCACCCGCCTGAGCCACCGCATGAAGAACCCATGTTGAAGTTCCACAAAGCCATGGCTGGAGGCGTCGACTTGATTTTAGCCTTCACTTGAAATGAACCGCGTAGCACATCGGCACGGAGCGAAGATGTGGGCTGGGGTCCGGGGACCCTCTGACCACTCGCATCATAGTGGCCTTCAAAGACGCCTTGCCGCCGGAGCCGTGCAAGGTGGCCTGAGAAGACCAAGGCCACTCACCTCACCTTTGAAGGCCCATGTCCATTCTCAGCATGAGCCCCTTCTGCTCTTTGCAACCAACAAACAGCCAAGAACATCACCTCATTCAAACAATATATGTTTCCATCTCCATATCCCAAGGTGGACTTGACCAGTCTAAAAAAGGCAGCCGTCCACAAACTTCTTACGATACCTCTTCCTAAGTCCCCTGTGAACTGGACAAAACACCAAAACAAACATGGGTGTCTTATTTAAAGGGTACCCCCCTCCCCCTTTTTGTGTGTTTTTAAGCAAAACCGTTAACCGAGAACCGCCGCTTTGGAGGTTCAGCGTTTCGTTCCGAGTCCGCTTCCCAATTCACCCGCCTTGCCAGTGGTGTTCCCCGCCGCTCGGCGCAACAGCCACAAGCGCCGCCGCCATCTCCGCGGCAGCTTTCGCAGCTCAGCCTGGCGCGACAAACTGCCACTGTGCCCCCCTACCCTGCCCCTCTCCTTGGGCGTGTCCGACAGCTCTCCTCCCCCTCCCCCCCAAACCCTGCGGCGCACACCTGAGAATCACCACAGCCCCCCCGCCAGACGAGCTGGGGGCTAGCCCCCATGAAGGATGCTGCGCCCCGCCCCCCGTCGAAATCTATAGGATGGCTTCTTTCAGGGGCATCTTGGAGCAACCTCAAAATTGATGGATCGCAAACATTTTAGAGGGTACATGTGTGTCAATATTGCATTGGGCGCTGCTCAAATGTGTTCCCGCAATTGCGTGCCGTCTTTTTTGAGGGTACTCTTGGGGGTTGAATCAGCATTTTGTTGAGTATGCATGCATGTGTATCTGGTTATGTGTCTATCTACGTCTATATATATATATATATGTGCATCGACTATGTCTATGTGCTTATGTGTCTATGTGGCGGTTGTCTGAGATAATCTCAGACAACGCCACATAGACACTGTTCTGGGATCTACCATCTTCACGAAAACCACAACAACTATCGCAAGGTCCCTCGCGGAGCTTGCGCGGGGCATATGTATATATAAGACCAAATGGCCTTCGTCTTCCTATCTGAATACAATAGCCTTTCGGACGACTGCCATGAGTCTCTGTGCCTATCTATGTCTGTCTATGTGTCTATGAATGTCATGTGCCTATCTATATTTTTGCCTGTGTCTGTGTGTCCGTGTGTGTGTGTGTGTGTATGATATGCATGATAATGCAATGCAGTGCAGTGCAAGGCAACGGTCTATATACTAGGCAAGTCTCTATAGTTGAATCTAGTGAAATGTAAAATTACATATGTATATCTGTATATACCTGAACCAACCAAGGGAACTTGTTTTGCGAATGTCCGCAAAACTCCGTGCATTTTCGTGAAATCCATACAATTGCCGCAAAACTGTATTTTTCTTGCGGGCTACGATAAAGCAACTACCTTTTTTTCTGCAAGAATCTCACGCTCAGGTCGGGCCCTGGCACTGGAGCTTGTTATGTTCATGGGCCGAAAAGCCGAGTGAATATGTGCAATTCACCAAGGAGAAAAGGAGCGCGTTTCCCCAAGCAAATGTTCCTCTAATTTCCCCCCCTTTCCCGCCGATGTCTGTACTTTTGCAAACTGTGTTTAAGTGCATCCAGGAACACCACAAACGCTCACAGCCTACTAAATGCGACTTCCGTCAATTTGCTAAAAAAGTACTCATGCACATTTTTCTCCCCCCGGACATGTACGGACATTTCAGGTATGTCTATGTTTAGGTATATGATACGCATGCAGCTCTCCTTTTTCAGCGCTGCCCCCAGGCATCCCCACGGCGTTGCGCCTCTGTGCGGAGCAAGTTCCGGCGGTTGGGCTCCAGGGCCAGCACCCGTACACGGCCTCGAGCCAGTGCCGATGGGGTGAGTCATGTTGCCACATCCATTTCGCACCAAAGAAACCCTTGAATGATGGCGATTCCCCAAAAAATGGTTGACGGATTGATAAGCCCGTCCCATCCCTCCAACAGTAATGAATCCCCACTACACGGGGACACCCCCCTATTAATCAACCAGGGGTGAATTAATCCGGGGCTAACATTAAATGCCGACCAACAATGGTTTCAACCATGGTTTCTTAGGTGGTGCAGGATTTCGTTCATCCACAGTACTGTGGAGGGTTGCCAAATCCAGAAGCCGCACACGATTCATCATGGTTGAAAGTGGTACTTACGTCGGATTTGGAATCGAATCATTCCAGTTCTTAGGTGGTGCAGGAAATCGTCCATCAGTAGTTCTCCTAGAAAGCAGTATGGTGAAGGATCCTAGGATGACCATCCCAGTTAACCCCTAAGGAACTGGCCTTTCGATGGCATGTGTCCATTTGGAAAAATCGATGACTCTGGTATAACAAACAACAAGGTCAACTAGGAATCGCCATCATTTTCTAGCAACAAAAAGAGACCAATGACGTGCTTCCCTGGAAAGCTAGAAATTTGGTGAAAGGAAATCACAAGACACCAACCGACTTTTTGGAAGCCTTTCATAAAAAAAGCGAATGAACTAAACGTTCAAAGCGCAATTTGTTGGACCCTTTGGTGGATGTCATGGAGACTTATGCCCCAAACCATGTTTGAATGTCCAACCATTGCAAATGTCATGGCCACACTGTGGACGAACTCTTGTCAGTGTTCATCGGGCTTTATCCATCCAGAATAGTGCAGAAAATTGCCCATCCAGAGTATATAGGGGTTTCGCCTTGAAGAACTTATGCCATGTAGCATCTCCCAAAGAGCATTTGCAAAGACAGAACCAGGGACATCCGGACTGTCAGTCAAATGGCGCCAAAAACTCCAAAAGGGAACTCGCCAGTTACTCAATTGACAACCAGCCTTGGAGAGATCCGTCTAACACATCTGGCAATCCACGGGAAGAAATGGAAGAGCAGAGGCCGCTCTCCCGGTTTCCCCGCGCCTGGACTTCCGTTGGCGACCTCCGCCAGCAAGCTACGACTCAGGCACTCATGCTCATGGCCTCAGCTAACCAACTTGGCCGAGATGTCAGCTGAAAATGGCTTCACACCTATGACTTGAGGACAATCACTGACGATCAGGATGCCATGCGAAAAATAGCTCGAAACCGTGCTTTGTGTTTCAAAATGCCTTGTGCGCGGAAGGAACCCTGCAATGAGCCAGGCGGCTCTGCAAATCAGGCGCCAATTGGACTGAAGGGCAGGACATACCACTTGCGCCGGCGATTTCTCGCCAGTTCACGTGCGAGTCACATCTAAGGCAACTGCAATATGCGCCAACATCGATGAACACCTTGAACCAAGGCATCCGACTCAGAATCGCAAGCCATGCTAGGTGAGTTCAGATCCAACTGCTTGGCTAGGACAGAGAGTCTTGACAAAAAAACCTGGTTTAAAGAAAACTAGCAAAGGAAGCCAGCCCAGTCTTAGAGTTCCCCTACTTTGACACATCTGACAAGAACCGGGGCTCCTGCGCGGGGTCGGTTTCCGGACCTGCCTGAAGAGAGGGCCCCCAAAAGCCACAGCCGATAAGCAACGGAACCGAATGAGCTAAACAGTCATTCGGAAGCTCACCAATATGCCCAAGAGCATGTTGAGACAACACCATGCAATTTGTTTTTGAAGCCATGAGCTTGCTGATTTCTGGCTTCGCTATCTCCGCCGGACATGCGGAGCCCGAATCTCCGCAGCAAGGGCAGATTTGATAGAGTGGCTTGCAACCAAGAGAGGCCAAAATGCGCATGTTGGGCCCAACATGCGGATTCCAGGTCCGCCACAAATTGATCGATGTGTTGCTCTCTATGCTGCACTGAAGCACCGCTTCATACTGAAAATTGGCAAGGCAGCCGCAACCCAAAGAAACTTCAAGGGTTTGCCATCCTTTCTGAAGCTCCATTTCCTCAAGGTCCCTGCTGGAACAATAACATATTTGCAGTAGTGATAAATTCCCTTTAAAACCAACAAGAGAAAATACAACATATTCTTCAAAACATGGAAGTGGACGTGTCCCGGATCCCTCGCTCCCTCGCCTGACCGCAGCGCCAGGCGCACAAAGTTCCTGAGGCGCGTCTCTTGGCGTGCTCAAGCCGGGTCTGGAGTCAACACGGCCCCCAGTTCCGAGCCTCAAGGCTACCTACACGTAGTTCTAGTCCTTCAAGTGACTAGCCACACGTAGTTCTTCAAGTGAAGCTCCTTCTCCCTGGCCAGCTTACATGATGTGCTGATAGTGACTATGGCAACTGAAGGTGCTTCTCCCTGGCCAGTTCATGATATTACCGTGAACTTTATCAGTGGAAAGTAACTTGAAATTATTGCTCTTCAGCACCTCCCGACCACTTGGACCATTGGAGCAGTTGGAGGGTGGATAGTGACCATGACCATAGGTGTCCTTTTAAGGGAAATAGATGGGTTTCCATGGTAGATGATTAAATCAGGTAAATTAGGAATCGCCATCTACTGTCTAGCAAAACAACCAAAAAGGACACCTACGACCACTTTTGGATTTTGGAAAAAGCCGTTGGAGGGATAGTGACCACGACCGACTCTCCAAAGCTTTCGTCACGAACGCAGGTGCAGCCAAAAGCGTCTCCACCCCATGGCCCGAGCCCCAGAACTCCGTGCGCAGCGAGGCCAGCCTGAGGTGCGAAGGAAGGACGCCCCGTCTTGGCGGTGAAACCTAGTGAGTCAAGTGCTCAAAACCCTTTGTACTAAAATGGTCGCAATCCCATGCTTCAAGAATTAAGAAGAAGGTCCGCAGCTATTTATGGTTGGGATTGTCCCGTCTACCCGGGTGTTGATTGTGGCTTCAGTGGCTTCTAGGGTTTTCAGCCTAGGAACAGGGCGTCACGAAGCTTACCACAGTCTGGCAGAGCCGGCGGGTGGAGGTTTCAAAAAATGTCGTGCACTGTCAATGTTTGCGACCGCGCCATCTTTCTCTTCAAGCGCGCGCATGAAGTCAAGCTTGCGACAATAAACTAGCTGGGGAGCTGTGCGTGCAATTGGGCCTCAAAATGATGGATGTCCTCTTTATCTCTCCAAGGCTCGCAAGCTTTTGACAGGCCTCAAGCTGCGAAGCTTCCAAGATGGATAAAACGTTTCCACTGGGTGGCACCTTCTCATTCCCATACGGATGGTTTTTTCCCATCAACCTTGCTTCTGCTGCTTAGACTTGGCTGTGTGGTAGAGCAAGGAAATCCTGCAAATTGTTGAAGCCATCCCGGACAAGGTGCGCACATGTTGACTCGGATTAGTAAATCCGGCAAATTAAAAGGGGGTGTCCCTCGAAAAGTGATGACCCAGGGACAACCCCTATGAACGGGACGGATGAAATGAATCCGCTTGACCCTTTGGAAGAGGATGGCTTCTCGTTTCTCTTCCTGGGAACTATTTGCGCCGCTTGGTCAGCCGCAAAGCAAAGAAACGACGACCAAAGAAAATTACGTGCTAACCGCTTGCTTCCTCCGAGATCCTCCGAGTTGATTTCAAGCGAGTTTTGCTCCGAACCAAAGACATCCAGGCGTTGGTTTGGGGCTCAAAAACCCAAAGCGCCTGGATCGGTCCATACAACACAACCCAAGGTCCTGGCAAGTAGCGCACCTCAGATTGGCAGTGGTTAAGCCCATCCAGAAAACAGTCGGGAGTGCCACAGAGCATATTTGGGCGAAGAGCTTGCAATGATGCGCCAGGTAGCCATCAACTTTCGACCAAAAGTAGAAACCCACAGTAGGGGTGTCTTTTTCAGGGTACCTTTTTTGTCGGTAAACCACAGGAACACGATCCATTTTGGGGTGTTTCATTTGGAAACAACCTTTTAACTTGGTATGACAGCAAACAACTGCTTTGCAACCCCCACGAAAATGAACAGGACCAAGCACGACTAAAACCATGCCCACCCTGCAATGGCTGTCAAATGGAACCCCAAAATAGCCCAGAGGTCCATTGACAGCTGGGTGAAGCACAGCTTCCTTAAAGGCCGAGGGGCAAAGGTGCCACGGTGGCTATGGTCCTCGAGCACGTTTCTGCCCAGCGCGCCCTGGCAAGCGGATTGCAAGTTGCTTGAAGTACCCTCCCAACAAACATGGAACCTGGACAGTCCCCTGAAAAGGAACCTTTTTGAATTTGAGGGAAAGATCAGCCCAGGTATCCCCAACAAAGGCGAACCACCTGCCATCCGGAACCCTCCCTGAAAGCTGCCCCAAACCACCAACCAGAGCTTATTTGGGAAGGAAAAATGATCTTGACCGCACCTAAGTGCCCAAGTGGCACCGGTTTTTGTTGGGTTTGCTAGGTCCTCCAGTAGAGAGCTTAGAATAAGGGGTACTCTTTTTCTGGGTAAGGGGGCCCTACTGGGGGACCTAGAAGTGGTTTTTCTAGAAAAGTGGTCTTTGTAGACAGTTGGCCTACTCCCACTAACATGGCACCTGCCACACCCAAGTGAGTGGCGCCAGTTTCCTTTGGGTTTCCTTTTGGTACTTCCAAACTAGGTATGGGTCAAAATTAAACCACCAGGATATGGACTGCAGGTTTTGGCCCATGTTTCCATTTGCCACAAATTCCTTGTATATACCAAAGTTTGGGGTTACCCTATTTCTGACCACCACAGCCAACTGTCGCGGCTCTGTGGCCTCCGAGATCAGCCAGGGCAGGGGCAGGAGCTCATGGCGGTCCATGGATCTGCGCAGCACGACCTGCACCGCGAGCTGCAGTCATTGCCAGCGAACCCCCCCAAGGGGGATCTATACTCATTTTTGTTGTGTGCACAGAAGACATGTATTACTTATGCACACAGATACATACATACACGCATACATACACTAGATTACATTACATTGCACCACATTGCATTCTTTACATACTAGTCCGTGGGACTGCGCGTTAGCCGAGCGATCAGCCCGCGCAAGATCTCGCCCCAGCCTGGCTTCCCAACCCTTTCTCAGCCACAGGGCTTTGCCAAGCCAGTCCTAAGAATTTGGCTACCGCGCGTCTCCTCACGCTTCGTGACTTTTGGATTTCTGCTGCAGTAATGGCTCGTATTGAGCCAAAGACCCAGGTCCAACCAAGGCAGATGGTGGAATCCCAGGCTGTGACGTTCACCTTTTCATTGTCGGGAACTCCCAATGCCATGATATCTTACGCCCTCATGACCAGACAGCCATTTTGGTGAGCGCGCCAGCATGCTGCCCAAGCCAATCCTGGCTACGAATGGCTGGACCATGATGCTGGGTGAATTATAATATTTCACCAGCCTGAAATAAGGTGGTTCTATTCTCCACATAAACCACCATTTTGGGGTGAGGTCGTGTGAGGTCGTTATAATTCACCCAAATCATGTCTTATTGGAAAATTTACTGGGCCGAAGGGAATACTGATCATTTCGGGATTCATGGCAAGAGCAGCCCTCTGACTCTGCCTGCAGCGCATGCAGGAGGCCCACGACGTCCCAGCGGGAGGACTTGGCGGCAAAGGCCAAACGGCGACTTCGAGGGGAGATCGTTTGAGTGCACTGTCTTTGGAAGCAACAAGCAACTTGTTTCAAAGGGGGCTTTAGCGACCTAGGATGCGATGCGACTACGTGAAAAAGAGTAAGCCAAAACATGTGTTAAGGTGTTGAGTCTGAAAAAAGTAAGGAACCCAATGTTTTTTCAGGTGTTATTGAGTATCATACACAGATATGTCAGCAGTCCTCCAAACGATCGGTTTCCCGTGTTGCTTCCCTTTCAATACCCTCCCCCAAAAGCATGCAACACATGCCCTCGGACCCTGGCACCGGCCAAAGTTTGGCCAAAGCACATCCTATGGCCATGTGGGGGTGAATTTAATTGGGGGACCCTGTGGTGGACATCATTGAGGTGGGGATTTACGTCCACCACTACTCAGGGGAACCATAAACATTCGTAGCCGTGTGGTTTTTAAAGCGCAGGCTTGATGCCAACGATTGAAAGTGCTTTCCCAGCGATTTCTCACTTCAGGCTCCTGGATCTCCCAAAAAACAGGGCGCCGGCCAGTAGCTCACCCAGCGGGTCCATGCGGCCCGCCCTGCAAGTCAAATTTGGGGTGAGTCCAGCATCCCAGCAGCTGCCTTTTCCCTAAACATCCAAGTGCAACCAAGAAACAGCGGTTGGGGGCTGTGGTAGAGCCACCTTGAAACAAAGAAACTCACCCACAACACTCATCTTGCAACACTGTCTACTGGGATATCCGATGTTTATTGGCGTGGCCCTCTTGATCTACCCCGACTCTGATACAACGGTAGCAGCGGATGTGTCCCAATTGTGACCCTTTGAATGACTTCACAGGAGATTACGCGAGGTGACAAATTCCGCAAGTTTAGCCTCTTTTTCACGTTTAGCTTTCCAATGTTTCTCTGGACCTCAGGGATTGTGCGAAGAGCCGGCCATCTCATCCAGTGTTTATGAAAGTGCGGGCTAAGAAAGTCGAATTGGGTTGTGTACTTGTAAACCCTGTTGTGTCACAGGAGAAACAATTCCTAGTACTTTTCGCCTTTTGGAAGGGGTATGGATCTCCCCATCTCCCAACCCGCGCCTGCGCTGGTCCCGTTGCGGCGCCTTATGGATGCCCTCCTGACGCAAACTGTGAAGGTGGTTCAATCATCAATAGGGATAATTCCCCTAGCTGTTCAGAAGAGCGCCTTTGTCGGCAACGTTTTTATTTCCCAGGTAGCTGAAAGCTAGAGGCGGAAAAGGGATTTGCGAGATTGACGACAGGGGTGTTCGGGGCGCAGGTGTTGGAGTGTACTTCTTGAGCAGTTATTGCGCGGTGTTGGAATACATGCAATTCTTCTCGAGCATCGTGTTTCTGCCGGCAGTCTGTCACAAGTCACAGTGTCGCAACCAGCAAGCAGTTCTAAGGTTTTCCTTTGTATGCCGGGCTACATGAGCAGGACCATGTGCCAGCAGTGCCCGGATTCAGATTCTGTGCAGCGCAAGTGGTCTTTCGAAGCGTGAAGCATGGTAGACAAGCAGAAAAATAAAAAAGAAAAACGGTTTTCGCACATTCTCATTTTAGACTGCACAAACCAAGCAGACAAAAACACGTAAAAAATCGTCCGTTCAATTCCACATCGGGAAGCCGCTCAATCAAATCCGCCTCTTTCAAAGCTTCCAGTCAAAACCCAAACCAAGCGCCTAGGCTGCCCTCGCAAAAAAGAGCAAACAAAAACACTGCAGTATTGTGTGTTCTTATGCTGGCCCCACAAAAAGGAGCCAATGAAAACACTGCGGGTTTTGTAGGACGAACTGGAGATGGCCACTTCGGGGTCTGAGCTTCCTCTCTAAGCCCGAGGTTTGAGCCAGCCCAACGAGCAGTGTGCAACCCTCGTCCTGTTTGAGGCTATTTCGGGTCCGTGCTGCTGGAATTACGTCTATGTTCTGTCTTCAACGTACATAAACAAACACGCATAAACCGCAAGTAAATAGATGCAAACTAACAAATAAATAAACAAACAAATACAATCAATGAATAATGAAAAAAACAACAAATTCTAAAGTACATAACGAATAGAAGGTAAAATATAACATAAATGCAGATTAAGACATAAAGCAAAAAAAACATTTAAAAACAAAGTAAGATAAGACAGATTGATAAGTACACAAATCTCTAAACAAATAAGTAAAGTAAGTGACAAACACACATAAATCCTTACTCGAGCTTCACCTATTTGGGCCAAACTTCTATGTTCGCTGCAGGCTCCAGCCGCCGGCCCATACAACACCCCAGACATACACAATCCTGGTTGAATTGATGCTCGACTGTCTCGTCATTTGACGTCTCGCCTGATCAGATTCAGACGCGGCCATTGAGCCGGTGCCGCCGATGCAGGAGACTCCACTCCAGGCACTTGGAGCGTGACTCGAGTGAACTCTTGGGTGAAAGGCCGCCCCAAAAGAAAATAAGAAGTGCAGTTCTCCTCCAAGCCGCAAGCCGGGCCGGGGATCACTTGAATTTGGCTACCTTGGCAGTGGTCAATAGGTCATCTGCCCACAAACTCTCACAAGGCGTGAGAGCCTATCGGCTTCTCAAAACTATTGGGCCCCATGATGCCCCATGATGCCCCATGTTTAACAGTTCCAAAAGGAAGCCCAGGGAAACTAACAAACATTTTAGTTTTGAGAAGCGCGTTAAAACGCAGTCTGCTACAAGGGGTTGCTGTTTCGAGGACAGCCGTAGTTGCTTCAAACAGATTTGCCGGGATGAAATGACTGGCTAGACGCCGCAAGGTCTCCAGCGTCATCAGGCCTGTTCCGGGCAGACGCCAGGTCCGCGCAGGCCGCGAGGCACAGACGTGGAAACGGTGGAACAGACCAGCTGATATTAGGTGAGCCACATTGCCACAATCATGCCCTTGGTAACAAGTGCCAAGCTGCACGGACCTTCTTCACACACGGTGATATATCCGGTTGGTGGCCATATCCGGTCTTTGGATTCTGTATCGCAAATTGATCCAGGCGATTGCTGGTTGAGGCAACAAACCTCAATGCTGCACGCTGGTAATGCAATGAGGCCTCGAGGGCAGCCAATTCTGGCGCAGTTGCAACATGGTGGTTGCTTCTGCCGGCACGAAATGACCGGCTAGCCCATATACAAGCGTGATGGAACCTATTCTAGCAGCGTCATCACCCCCCAACACCCCCGAACTAACTGGCCATTCATACTGCAAAGGTATAAAACAGCATCACTACAAGAAATGTGTCCGAGAGAGCGCTGCGCTTTTCGGTTGATCTCGCAGGAAACAAGGGGCATGTTGGATTTGGGCGTGAAGGACACTCGCCAACTTTCGCTTCACTGGCCGATTCTCACTTGAAAAAAACTGGAGGACTTCACGACATCAGCGCTTCCCAGGCCGCCTGCGCTCCAGGCACTCCAGGCACTCCAGGTCCGCGCGAGGAGAGGAATCAGGCTGTTTGCTTGGAACAGAGTAGGTAAATTGCATTCATGCAGGACCGGCGCTGGCACGATGGTGGTGGTGGTGGTGGTGGTGGTGGTGGTGGTAGTGGTGGTGGTATTATCCACCGTGCATTTCAAATGGTTTGCTCCGGAGTGTGCTTCGAGGGTGTGCTTCGGGCTTCCCTATGCTTCACAGGGGTCGAACTTCCAGCCTACAAGTGAAACAAGACCCACCCGAAATATTCACAGGTCAACCCGGCACGATCGTCGGCTAGTTAGGTTGCAGGATACTTAGGCGGTCAGAAGGGGGGCTTTATCCTGCAACACCCAAGACATAGACATGCAAAGCCTGGTTGATGCTCGACTGTCTCAGTTGACGTCTCGCTTGATCAGAGTCAGACGAACTCTCAGGTGAAAGGCCGCCCCAAAAGAAAATAAGAAGTGCAGTTCTCCTCCAAGCCGCAAGCCGGGCCGGGGATCACTTGAATTTGGCTGCCTTGGCAGTGGTCAGTAGGTCATCTGCCCACAAACTCTCACAAGGCGTGAGAGCCTATCGGCTTCTCAAAACTATTGGGCCCCATGATGCCCCATGTTTAACAGTTCCAAAAGGAAGCCCAGGGAAACTAACAAACATTTTAGTTTTGAGAAGCGCGTTAAAACGCAGCCTGCTACAAGGGGTTGCTGTTTCGAGGACAGCCGTAGTTGCTTCAAACAGATTTGCCAGGATGAAATGACTGGCTAGACGCCGCAAGGTCTCCAGCGTCATCAGGCCTGTTCCGGGCAGACGCCAGGTCCGCGCAGGCCGCGAGGCACAGACGTGGAAACGGTGGAACAGACCAGCTGATATTAGGTGAGCCACATTGCCACAATCATGCCCTTGGTAACAAGTGCCAAGCTGCACGGACCTTCTTCACACACGGTGATATATCCGGTTGGTGGCCATATCCGGCCTTTGGATTCTGTATCGCAAATTGATCCAGGCGGTTGCTGGTTGAGGCAACAAACCTCAATGCTGCACGCTGGTAATGCAATGAGGCCTCGAGGGCAACCAATTCTGGCGCAGTTGCAACATGGTGGTTGCTTCTGCCGGCACGAAATGACCGGCTAGCCCATATACAAGCGTGATGGAACCTATTCTAGCAGCGTCATCACCCCCCAACACCCCCGAACTAACTGGCCATTCATACTGCAAAGGTATAAAACAGCATCACTACAAGAAATGTGTCCGAGAGAGCGCTGCGCTTTTCGGTTGATCTCGCAGGAAACAAGGGGCATGTTGGATTTGGGCGTGAAGGACACTCGCCAACTTTCGCTTCACTGGCCGATTCTCACTTGAAAAAAACTGGAGGACTTCACGACTTCAGCGCTTCCCAGGCCGCCTGCACTCCAGGCACTCCAGGCACTCCAGGCACTCCAGGCACTCCAGGCACTCCAGGTCCGCGTGAGCAGAGGAAAAAGAGCTGGCGAAAGCTGAGCCTGCGCAAATTTGTGACACCGAGGGCAATTGAACTTCAAAAGGATTCCAGGAAGGGTATCACGGAAAGTGGCAGCCCATCCATCCATTTTCCACAGCCAGGGAAAATGAAGGGGAAACCTCAAACAAAAATGCTGAACAAAACCAAGTTTTCCACACCCATGCCTCCCCAGGCGTCTACCGACATGCGCAAGCCCCCGAATCTGGGAAGGAGCCGTGGCGAGAGATGCCAGGTGAGCCTCCATGAGGCCCAGCAAAGGATCGCTGCCTTGGATCTTCCTTACTGATCTGGGAAACAACGATATCCCACGACCAAAATCCAAGCTCGGCATGCAAAAGCCCCATGCCCCTTACAATCCCCAAAAGACTCAAAGCCCACTAATTATCAAGCACCAAGGATCTTGGCACGCAAGTGTGGGAGTATCAATGCCAAAAGATCCGCCTCGCCTAACTGCATGAGCAGCTCGCGATCCGACCTTCCAAGCTTGGCTTGATTTGGGTGAGGCAAGTGGCAGAAGTTGCACCCTGCGCCACTGGGACACGCACCATAAGTCAGGAACAGGCAGGGCTTGTTGCAAAGCTGCGGGTGCCCTGCGCTCCCCTCTGATGGAGCTTCCAGGAAAGTCAAGGCCGAGGCTCGCTTCTCCAAGCTCTCCACATAGGAGGTCTCGGGGCAAGGTTGTCGCGGCACATTTGCCCCCGCGCTCTTGGAGCGAGGGCCTGACTTCGGCACCTTGACTGCGATAAAGGTTGCCTGGTATGTGCAGAACGCCATGACGACAGTGGGCTGAAGGCTCGGTGGAAGCGTGTGGTCTTGAGCGACAAATCCATCCAGCAGCGTTTTTCGGGACGGCCCAAGCAAAAGCCACCAGTGTCACCATTCCATGCTCCAATTGCCATTTGACTCTGAACACCCTAATGAAACCCTTGCGTCCCAAGCCACGTGCTCAATGTTTTGTGAGAAAACAACCAACCATGAATGAAACCTGTTTAAGATTGCTTAAGTCAGCCAGACAGAGTGGAAAGCCCGGACATGGGGAGCTCGCTTCGATGTTTCTTTCTCAAAAGCTGACTGCTGAAAAGTAACAAGTCCAAGGCCACACGGAGTCACGGAGTCCCCGCCTTCGAACCCAGGCCCTGAAGGCATGGGCCCTTCCATTTGCTGTCGAGAGCAAATTTACACGTCGCCGAGAAAGAAACTCCCTGAAAGGGAACATCCACTGAGCCCTCTTCCCGTTCTCAAGCTCAGTCCAGAGGGGCGTGGTATGTTGCAACTCAATTGTAGCTTTTGCTTGCACTTTCTGGGCCCGCTTTGCCCCACAAGACGTGGATTCCTGGCTCCTGGGACTGGGGACCACTGTCTGTTTGCAGATCCCCTGCTAAAAGGGCAAAGCTTTAGTGTGTTAAATGGACACCCAACCACCAAACCATCTAAAAAGCCAAAATTAAAAGGGATAGTGTATAAGTGAGAGGTCACCAGCGTTGGAGGCTAAGGAGCACGGCTCCCAAAACGGGGCGGGGGGTGACCGGGGGTGACATGACTCTGAACTCCGGAGTTGGAGCAAGCGCGAAGTGGTCCTGGTCGCGAGGTGACAAGGACAGCGGAGATTTGGGCGCTCGATAGCCCGAGCCCGCCGGTGTCGTTCAAGCCTGGCATGGCCAGTTGCTGTCTGGGGGTTCCTCACCTTCGTTGAGTGTGTCATGGACCTGCGTGGAGATCCAACCAATCGATAACTTCACTTTGTGACCATACGGAGCCCCAAGAAGAAGAGACTTCAATTCTGGCGACGTGGGCTTTCCCCACCCGCTGTGGGGGGGTTGAAAAGGTGCCCGAGGTCGGGTATGTGAGTGACCGAACAGACTGATTGTTAGTCGAAGGTTTTGCATAAGATCCAACGCCATTGGAGCTAGCAGCTAGACCTTGCTCCATTTGTGCGGCCTAGTGTGAATGGAAGAGTTGTCGCCAGCGCAATACTGTGTGTGATTGGCTCAAACATCACATGAGCCAGAATCAAGATATTACCAAGAGTCATTCCCAATTGTAATGAGAGGCGGTCGTTCTTATGGCACCTCACCTGGGTCTGGTGTATTCCGTTGGATGCGGGTTTTGATTATGCGAAGGGCCTGGACATTGATTTGAAGGCCCTGATCGGATTGTGGCAGTATGTTTTGTGCTATCGGCGTCAACACCGTCCCACACAAACACATCTCATGCCAAAAACAACTGCAAAAAAGATGTGTTTTTCGAGTGCGGGTTCGCAATTTTTTAAACTCATTTTCAGTGCGCCATTTTGGAGGAAACAGGCTAGTGAAAAACCTGGTGCTTCCTTGTAACCTCATATAAATTCTTGAAAATAAAATAGTTGACAGGTAGGAAGTCTCTGGAACCTAAATTTTACAATAAATAATATTGGATGAGATTGGATGGGTGAGGGACATCTCTTTCATCTCACCCATTCTCATCCCTTCATTTTCCCTTTACCATCCGTTCCCTCGTGAATAGGAACGGTGGAAGGGAATGAAGATAAAGAAATAGATTGGAGACATGCTTTTTGCATTTCCCATTCCGTCTATTGAATGGATGGCTTGAGAATGGGATCTTCTTCTGGTTGCTGTTTCTGGCTGGGGATGACGTCGTAGCTCACGGACAGACACGTCAGTGCACAAGCATTTTAATCTGACTCGAAGAGTTGGACAGCGCACGATTCGCGTCGGGGGGTGTTGATGCCTTTTGGTCCCTGTTGGAAAGATGCGATCCCTCGTGCGGTTGCAAGCAGATCTGCACCTGGCAAACGAAATCCCAAGATTCTGCAGTACGTGCGATCTTTTCAGTGGCGTTGGGAGCATGCTGCGCGCACTCCCTTGGAGTTGGCCAGTTGCACGGCGGTGGCACTCAAGCGGCAGCAGTAGAAGTTGAAAAGGCGCGTCGGTTTCATTGCGTGGGACGGTTTCGACGCCACTGGGATGTTTGTGCATTCGCAACATACTCCCCGTGGTTTTCCAGCTTCCCAGCATGCAAATTTGGAAACCTGGCCGCGTGGGCAAGTGCGGCCTAGCTCAATTCACGGACGACATTCAGACCTTGAAACCCCAGCCCCTGCCCTGATGAGATTCTGGCATTTAATCAGACTCAACAGATTTCATCGGTTGGACCGGGTTCGCAACGAAGGTCTGTGGGTGCGGGCACCTGATGCGGAACTCACCTCAGTGAAAGCGTGTGTCGGAAGCCAAACCTGCGCCTAGCGGAGTCGGTACGTGCAAGATGTTTCGGTCGGGGGTGGATGTGCATCGCTCCAGTGTGGGTCATGGCGGGGCGCGACAGAGCGAAAGGGCCAGCTGAACAAGCTCTATCTCTGTGTACGTGGTAGCAGTCGTCCATGCGGACGCAGTATCCATGAGGGTTCCTTGGCCTGCTGGCGCAAATGCCGGTGGCAGATGTTGCCCCACACCACCCAACGCCCGTAACTCAGGGTGGATCCGGGCGCCCACCCTGCCGCTGCAACAGCATGCTGTGTGGCCCAGTTGCAGAAGGCCGTCAGAAGGTAGGCTGGAGATGGTTCAGCAAAGTTCGCGAAGCGCCGCAAGGTGTTGCGTAGAGGGGTCAAGCCTTGAACACGGGCGTCACGTTGACGGTCATGGTCGAGGGGGGGTCAGAGAGGTCTGGGCCAGGCTACGACCAAGGCACGAATCCGAGTCGCATCAATTTGAGACTGTTGGAGTTCCTCAGATTAGTATTCACAACACAGGTGTTGTCCACAACAATGGCCATGGTTTTGCTCAGCTTTCCAGCCACTGGATATGTCTTTGTCGGGAGTGGCTTCGCACTTGGATCGCTTGATAGTAATCCAGTGAGGATCGAAATGAGTAGCAGTCACTGCACACCGCACTCTGTTGAAATTTGTGGGAGTTCAGCTAAGACGAGGTCAGCCATTCGCTACCCTGGTTTCCCTGCAGTTTCCCCCAGCCCGAAGCATGGGTTTCCCCCATGCTTCCCCTGTTTCCCCACGAGCTGTTGGTGCTTAAAGGGACCAAAAGGACCCCAAATGTGACTAGGTCCTCCAGTAGAGAGGTTAGAATAAGGCTACCATTTTCTCTGTAGTCTATTTTAGCAGGCTTGAACCCTCCCAACCAAAAAAGATAGGGTAAAAGGGCACCCAGCTGGGGACCCAGGAGTCAGTCTCCCGACACGTCAGCATCCCAGCGAGCTCCTCCAGGTACCGTGCCACCAGATTCTGCGCTTCACGCACCGCCGCTTCCACGAGCGCCCAGGAGCTGCTGCCGTGCTGACTCACCTCGCTTTGGGGATCCCGGCAGAAAACCGACATGTCATGTGGATGGTTGCGAAATCCATTTCGCACCACGAAATGAAACCATGGTTGAAATAATTGCTTGTTGGTATTTACAGGGGAATCATGGTTCCAGGGAATCATGGTACGCTTTTCAGGTTGACACTTTCATTCTTCTGCGGTCTGCGGAGGGGGGGGGGGGTTCCCTACCGTGGATGGACGAAATCCATTTCGCACCACCTAAGAGACCCTGGAGTGTTTCGATTCCCCTGTAAATACCAGCAAAGAATGGTTTCAACCATGGTATCAAAGTGGTGTAGGATGTTGTGCATCAACAGTATCATGCGGATTCGAGGGAGAAAACCATGAATTGTTCAGTCCCTGACTTCCTTTGTCCCCGGGGCCAAAAAAGGGGTGTACTAAAACACCATTAGTAATTCTTCAATGTATTCAGCCCGGCCAAACAAATAATGGACTTCCAAACGTTGATTCCCAGCCGCGGACAATGCCAAGAGGCGAAAAACCGGAGTGCGTGGCCTGCCTCTGCAGAAACAAATGGATGGGTTCCAAGTGATGAGCACAGCCTTGTTCCAGGATCTGTCCCTCGGTGAAATTCCAAGCGTCCCAATTTGCAGCCTGCCTGCACCACAGCCAGCGCCAGGTGCTTCGCTGCAAGGCCCAGCGGACAGGATGGCACCGTGGGTGAGGTCCTAAAGGCGCAGCTTGGCAGAAATGGTTCAGTGCCACGGTTTCGAAGTGTGCCTATCACAGGTGGCCTTTTGGAAAAAATAGATGGCCCTGGTAAATGGAATAAACCCCAGCAAAACCAGGGCCCTCTATGCTTTTAAGCAAACCAACCAAAAGGACACCGTGCCTAGGACTCACTTCCCGCGCGGATGGCCCAACAAAAGTCCAAACTTGTGATTGCTTATCACTAAAGTGGTCGTCCCATAAGGTGTAAAGTCCGGGAACTCAGAAAGTGTGCCTGCGACATAGTCGCATTGCACAAAAATATTCTCGCACCAAACAAAGTTTCACCTTGGCCCACAAGGTAAGGGCGGTGTGGTCTACAGGGCTTGTCACTTGATCAATGTGAAGCAAAGGCATTGAAGAGAGTTGTTTGAAGTAGGTCAGCTTGTCAAACAGGGGCCTCATTCTAAAGAGAAGGCCCCGATCGATGTCGTCAGGGTCAGATAAAAGGAAGCATTCTTTAAAGAGCTGACATGTTCAATTCCTTGCTGAAGATTCGGCACGCACGAGTTGGGGCTGCCGCCTACAGTAGTAGCACATCTAGCCTGGGGCTTCCATGTGTTAGGCTATGCTGGCCGGCACCAGCGAGTCTGTGAAAGCTTATCATCGCCCTCAACTCTGGACAAATTCCTACAGCGCTTTGAAGCCATGGTTGAAACCACTGTTTATTGGTACTTCAAGGGGAATCGAAACACTCCAGGGTTTCTGAACGGTGCGATTTCTGGATTCCGCAACCCTCCACAGCATGATTGCCCGGAAAAGAAAAAGAGCATCTTCCCGGCCTTTTGGAAAAATCGATGGCCCTGGTAAATGGAATAAACCCCATCTAAAAGCCAGTAAAAAAGGACACCTATGACTAGGTCCTCCAGTAGAGAGGTTAGAATAAGGGTACCTTTTTTTTCTGCAGTCTATTTTAGTAGGGGAACCCTCCCAACCAAAAAAGAAAGGGTAAAAGGGCACCCAGCTGGGGGACCTAGATGAGCTTCCCCTTACGCCGGCCAAACCTCTCTCTGTGCCACGCGAGTGAAGTTCGACCGCAGCGACTGGGCTCCGGGCATCATGTACACGGCCTCGCCCGCCAGCGCTGTGTTCACCAAGGCGTCCAGGAAGTGCTGCTGGTCCTGGTTGTCCAAAAAGCAGCAGACTGGGGAAGTGGCATCCTCAAAATGATTGTTAAGCTTTCTGGCTAGGAAAACTACCCCCAAAGTCGTTTAAAAAAAAGAAAGCAACATGTTCACTTGCACGCAGAAACAGAAGCCACTCCGAAGCTTGTTGGGGCAGAGAAGTTCAGCCGTTGGGGAAACGTGCCGGAAGTTTGCAAGAGCGTGGCATCATGGCTGGTTTCAAACCGTCAAAGCGTTCCATGGAAACCAGATTTGGATCAAGGCAGAAGCGCCGCCGAAACACGGCTCGATGGAACCTCTGGCCTCACGATATTTGAGCAGCGACCTTCCATGCGAACCTTGCAGTTCACTCGGATTGACGCCTTTCGTCCGAACCTTGAAACCCGAAGCTGCGTCACGAGGAGAAAACCAGCTGGTCAGGGACAGGGAGCCTCCCAACGCGTGACTCGTGCGACTCGCGCGGCTCGCGCCTGAACATCCTCTGCCTCCAGCAGGTCGCAGCGCGGCAGGGGACAGCTGCTGTGCTCCGAGGGAGGCAGAAACGCCTCGCCTCGACCCCCACTCCGGCCGGTCTTTCGGCGTTTTGCATTTGGCCAAGCCACGTCCGCCCAGATGTCAGTAACTCACTCGCCTTGTGACGGTTCATGACATACCCTCCTTGTCCATGGCTGCCTTTTGCAACTGGTGCAAATAGCACATACACTCAGCACGGGGGCTCACACGACTCTCTGGCCCGAGCCCCTTAGAAGGCAGAAAGCAACCCATGAAGGGCCGAAACAAAAGCTCTACATGCCCCATGCCTGGGACTGGGATCCAGCCCCCATTTGATCACAGCCACTCCCTAAGTTGTAGGGCAACAAGCCCAGTTCAATTCGATCGAGAGCTGGAGGCGAACGCGGGGCTGACCTCAAGGCCGTCTGACTTTCATCGAGAAACTGTACGAATGACACCGTCCGAGTGGCACGAGGTCACCGTGGCTTGAGCCTGCCGCAACAAGCCCCAGATAGGAAAGTCTGCCAGCAGCACCAGCGGCCAGTCCGCGCTGATCAACAGCCGCCACTCCTCCTCAGAACAAAAACGGGTAGGTCTCTCCAAAGCTTCATTGTTGATACGGAGTGGGGTGACGTTTAGAGGGAACACATAGGGAGCCATGTTGGATGGAAACCTCGCAATTAATTCAACTGTTGGTGACAGGCTTAGATCTGTCCTACAAAGTGGAATTGTTAGAATGCCCAAAGCACAAAAGGCCTGCTTCATCTGGACATCACGCAAGCAACCAGCATGTTTGCTTTGTGCACGCAAGAGGCTGGTGGGTAGTGTTGGAACTGCTTGCATACTTGGCTCTTGGCTTTGCTGTGTGATGTGCTAGCCTCACTCACAGCTGATTGGATCTGTCTCTGACTTCTAGAAAAATCCCCAGCCCCGAAGGAAACGCCTGATATGCCAATGCAAAGCTTGGACAGTGTCAGGTTTCGCGCAGGCGTCCTGTTTCCCAAATGGACATTTACACGTAGCTATGCTCCTGCTCGCACACGAATTTGAAAGGCTGTTATTGTATTCGGCCAAAGGCTGCACATGCCCTACCTCATTGCCCGCCGAAACTGCAGCTGCACTTACAGATTCGATCCAACTGTGTGCAGCTTCAAACAGTATCCACAAGCCTCCGTATGCTTCTCCTCGTGGATTTCAACTGTCACCTTCGGGGTGGCCTATGATTCGGTACAAGTGGCTGAAAAAGAACACATGAGACATGAATGGTGCATTTGTGTGTAGGGTACCCTGTTCGGACGGTCTTAATGGGACACCAAAACAAGGAACACCACTGGGTCCTCCAGTAGAGAGGTTAGAATAAGGGTACTCTTTTCTCTAGTCAATTTTAGTAGGGGAACCCTCCCCCAAAAAAGGGGAGAGCACTACTGGGGGACCTAGACCACCCGTTTCAGTGTTCCCTATGCGGCAAACCCATCCTGCAGCTGAGAGGGGTAGAGCAGGGGGAACTTCATGACCAGCTCCCAGAACTGCAGCGCCAGCACGCCGATCCAGCACACCTCTCATTGGCCACTGGCCCGGGTGTAGCTTCATTGAGGAGAGCAGTACCCTCAAAAAGGGGCTTCTACATGTTGTTTTTGTTTTTGCAAAGCGGGCTTCTAACTTAAAGGCAAACGTATTCCCTCGCCATCTTCTCCATCCATGAGCCAGATCACCGGATTCCAGCCTTCGCTTGTTCCGTTTAGGGGCCAAGGGCGCATCAGGCGCAAATCGGCTGCGCGACGAGCTCACCCGTGCCTCCTCCAGTCGGTGCCCAGCCCCGAAGCTGCCCATGGTCTTTGAAGTCCTTGGACGGAGGTCTCCCACAAAATTCCTGCCATCCTTCTTCCTTGTCCAACATCTCAAGTGTCCAACAAGTGGTTGTGACCCGGGTGCTGGTTTCATTTTGAAACGAAACGTTTTCCTTTCAACCAGTGGAGGGGGGGGGGGTCTGCCAGTTGACCGAGTCATGGGGCGCAGGGGCAGTGGTTTGTGGCATGCCTCAGTTTGAATCAACATGCGGAAGTGTGTCTATACCCTTTTCGGGACAGTTTTGGTGAAACCGGCATCTTGGACAGCCAGCGAGATAATGACAGTTTGGCCTATACTTCGTTCTTAGAGCTCAACAAACGCACGCCGTCGAGTTGACCTGGTTTAAGAGCTTCGCGCAAACCCGATGGCTCTGAGTCAAGAATTACCAGGGCTTGGGCAGAAGGGATCCCCAAAAAGGATGTCTCGCGGTTGTGGACTCCAAGATTCCTTGGCCTTCACACCCAACCTCGGCGCGAAAACTTTTCCTCTTTGAAGTGAAACCCCCTTTGAACCAAGGCGAACCGGGAACCCTGAAAAGCACATGAGCAACTTGCGAAACCTCTTGTGTAGCCAACGGACATCCGGTGGAGGTTATCTTTTTTTGTTTTGCTGTCATGGGAAACCTCCAGACACCTCCGCAGCCACCCTTCCCTTCCGACCTCCCCAAAACCTCCCCCCTGTGGTTGGGGTCCCCGACAGCATGGCCATCGCCTTGGCCTCCCGCATGGCGAGCGGGTGCCCGAAGTCCGTGACATTGACCTGCGTCTCGATCTCGATGGCGGCGCGAAGGGTGAGGGATCCCAGACCATCCGACAAGTAAGTAAGATATACCCACATTTACCCAAAATATGTCAAAACTTGTTTTGGATTTAACCCAACATATGTCAATTGTTTTGATGTTTGTTGTTTGTTTTTTTCTAGTCTGGGAATGATCGATCCCTGTATATTTTGTGGGTAGGGACCCTCGGTTTTACCAAGTTTTGGTAGCATGGGCTTCGTTGATCGGGGTTTGACAGAAATTTCAGGCGAAGGGATGGCTCAGTTCGGGGAGTCATTCTAACTCATTCCCTGAGCAAGTCGCTTGCATTGCGAATGCGGATGCGGATCCGACAGATTTGCCTTCAAAACCAACCAGGTGGGTCCGTTTCCCTTGAAAACCAACCAGGGTCCGACAAAAGGTACGCTGAGGCTCCATGTCCATTGCCATTTCACTTAAAAGCCATTCCATTCCATGGCGATGGTGGATTCAACCGAAATGCTGCAAGTAAACCAACCACATCCAACCATAGAAGCCTTGTAAAATGCGGGCGAATTCTGGAATTCTCTTGTGTCCGTACTTGCAATATTCAAGGCATCCAACCGGATTTGACAATTCGAGCCTTGCAAGGGAAATCGGTCAGCCGGATGGGGCCAGCAGGTTCGAACAGAGCCAATTGGGGACGGTCTGTGGAGACCTGCAGCCATCGACTTTTGTTGGTTTTTTGTTGCATAAGAAACCCAACTGTCTTGTTGCCTTCGAAATGCATTGCCAGGCCCTGACTGCCATCATGTTATTAAGTTCTGCTTGGCTCAGACTCCTTGCAAACATGACCTGGAGAGGAACTATGTCACTAAACAATGGCCGTGTTAGGCGGAGGCAGATTTCCAGACAGCCTGTCGAGAAAAAACAAAAAAACAAAAACAAAAAACGCCCTGGGGAGGTAATGCAGCCATTTCATTCGTCATTAGCCACCTCAAGAACGTCCATGCCCTGATGAGAACTTCGGTCTCAGTCTAGACGGGAGAGACAACCCCTCGCGATACACAGTTGAGTGAATTTAGAAAGCGAATCCAAATATCATCACCCTCTCTCGCCATCACAATCTTGGCGATTCGTCGACCCAAAACAAGGTGTTGTTGCACTTGTGGGATATTTGTCAAAACCCAACTAAGCGCTGAGCTAATCCGAGAAACATTCCGGAAAATTCGAATCAGGAACCAACCTGCAATTGGGTTGGCCACTTTTCCTGTACTCACTTGCTTAAAGGATCTGGAAGCAAAAGGCTAACCAAAATAGGATCGAACATTATGGACCAAAATAGGAAACAAAGGTCACAGGCCTGGTTTGTGCACGGATGGAACTGCGTCAAATGGCCTCCCCCCAATTCAGTTGCCGGATGCCTGGCGCCAGAGCTTTCGGGCCAGGGTGGCCCACTTGATTTGCCCCAGGTCGCTGCACACCTGGCCAACCAGCAAAAAGACACGGCCAAACCCATCCGGCGCGGATGTTTGGGATGGGCCCCATGTCAGCAAACATGGTCAACATGGATCAGGGATTGCCAACAGTGGGAGCAAAACGCCAAGGTCTGTGGGAGCAAAATACCAAGCAAGCACGGAGCTGTTGCAAGCACAGAGTTGGATTTAAACAAAAACACATCGCTTCGACGGAAATGAGCTAGTGGAAAGTAAAGCCACGCCTTAAAAGGAGCAAGCATTGGCTCAAGCACTGGAAGGACGCTTGCATCTAACACATGCTTGCCTTGTCAGCGCGCTCATCGATGGCGTCCGTGCGCACGTGTATTGATACAAAACTTTGGCAAGGCCTCCAAACCAACGTCCCGGAAATAACAACCGAACGCCTTTGGGGTGCAACAAATGCTTTTCAGAACACTATCCCTCGCGCCATGAACAAAAACAACATGTCGTGAGTGTGGTACTCCCTGCCTGCCGCAACGGCCAATCATTGCCAAAAGCTGCAGCGAGGGGCAAGCATGCCAGCAAGAGGAGCATGAAACCATGAACTGTCGCAGTGTTTTCCCGGAACCACTACATTCGAACAGTGTTGTGGCTGCGCTGCAAGCCATGGCGGTGCATGTTTGCTGACGCCTGGATTCCTGGATATCAGCCAATGTTTTGGTTCTCGAAATTGCGAATCGATGTTGGGATCCGGCTGCTGGAAGAAGCCTTGCCCCCGCAAATGATCACGCATCACTTTTGGACCAAACTCGTCTGC